TGTATCACAGAACCATCCTAATCTGGTTTACTACAATTTCATGCTAACTTGAACTGGATATTACTGCTGCTCAGTAATATTCATCCCGGATTTCTTAGCATGTTCTATATGTTAGTTTTTCTCAATCTTCAAATTGTTAACCTTAGAAATTACCTTGCTTTCACCAGAACTAACCAGAGTCCAACCAATTTGTCAATTAGGTGGTTACTGAGCGCGGAGAACCTCAATGATAACAGTGATAACAGAAGTCATATTCCAGTGGATTTGAGAATGAATAAGAGGTGAAGATATAGAGACATTAGCACGGTCTGAGTTTTCAAAAAGCTTAGCTATAAATGCAAAAAGATTTCAATAAAGTGTCCCAGCACTTTTATAACCTGAAGGGAAGGAACCACTGGAAAAGAAGATAACAGAGCAATGTTCTGGAAAAGAAAGGAATGAAGGCCTACTGTGTATTAGACCTAGTATACAAATTCTCATTTAATTGCCATATAGACCTTTGGGTTAGGTAGCTGGATTACCTCCCTCCTAGAAAAGCAGGACTCTGAGGTAAAGGCTTTAAGAAATTTGCCAGTCCCACAATTAGTAAGCTACAAAGCCAAAACTGAAATCCAGATCTTTCTTAAACGTCCAGTGATCTTTGTATTATACCACACTACTTTGGACAGAAAACAAGAATACTAGATCATCAGTGATGGATGACATGAAAAAGAGGTAAGAAATGACAATAAATATGTAGGTAAAAGAAGTGAAAGATGATACAAAGGAATGGATTCAGGCTTTTTAGCCTCTAATATTTACGTGGAGTAGGAAACAAGGTTATCTCCTGAAAATGAGGGGGATGTGAGTGGGTACAGTGAGCATGAGGTGAGTATAAAGGTTTGAAATAATCATTACGCATAATGGAAATGTCTGTGTCACAAGAGGGGTCAAAATGAGGTTGAAACCCCTGTCTTCCCCAATCCCTTATCTGAGAATAATCTCTCCCTCCTCTGCACTTCTATTACTATTCTTACTGTTCAGTATAGTATGAACTATAATACAAATACAGAGCTGTATATGGGCTAGCTCTATTTATTTTCTCTACACCAGATAATTAGTACCTGGAGAGCAAGGTCCGTGTTTTCTGCCTCTTGATATGCCTCATGACACCTTCTTATGGTGCCTAGCCCTGGCATTTCTTTTCTGGATTTTAGGAAATAGTGAAAAGAGAAAGACTAAGAGAACAGTGAGAACCAAGACATACACAGAGATGATTATGCTAAAGCATTGTTTGCTTCAAAAAGCTCACTGTGTCCAGGCACAGTGGTTTAAGCTTGTAAACCCAGCACTTTGGAAGGCTGAGGTGGGCGGATCACCTGAGGTCAGGAGTTCGAAATCAGCCTGGCCAATATGGTGAAACCCCGTCTCTACTAAAAATACAAAATAAATAAATAAATAAATAAATAAAAATTAAAAAGTAGCCTGGCATGGTGGTGTGTGGCTGTAATCCCAGCTACTCGGGAGGCTGAGGCAGAAGAATTGCTTGAATCCAGGAGGTGGAGGTTGCAGTGAGCTGAGATCACACCACTGCACTCCAACCTGGGCAACAGAGCGAGACTCAAGTCTCAAAAAAAATAAAAAGCAGTTTAGTATGACATAAGGCATTCCTATAACCTGGCCCTAACTTTGCTCTCTAGGCTCATCCTCAAAAGTTCTGCACATTCCCCACCTCCATGCCTTCAGTAATGCCTTTTCTCTCCTATCTTAGCCAGTCCAAATGTTTTTTTTTGAGATGGAGCAGGATAACTGATCTGGAAGATTTAATGTTAGTAATGACAGGACTGGGGAGAAAATATATTTTCTGTTCTTCTAAATGTTGGTAGAAGATAATAGAAAGCCTGTTTATATTTTAAGCTACATATAAGAAAGAAAGGGGCCCGGGTGCAGTGACTCATGCCTGTAATCGGGAGGCCGAGGCGGGTGGATCTCATGAGGTCAGGAGTTCAAGACCAGCCTGGCCAACATGGTGAAACCCTGTCTCTACTAAAAATACAACAATTAGCCCAGCATGGGGCACACACCTGTAATCTCAGCTTCTAGGGAGGCTGAGGCAGGAGAATTGCTTGAACCTGTGAGGCGGAGGTTGCAGTGAGCCGAGATCGTGCCACTGCACTCCAGCCTGGGTGACAGAGTGAGACTCCATTTCAAAAAAGAAAAAGAAAGAAAGGAAGGGAAAAGACAAGGTGAACTCTTTCCATGATCTTGCCATCAGTCCAAATAGTAGAGTTTAGGTGTAGTCTGTTTAAGAATGTTAATCTCCCTGCATCTGCTGGTTTTTGGGTCATAAGCTTGAGTTCAGAGCGAAACAACTTGAATTAATCTTCTAAACTCTCCTTAAAATCATCTTTTTCCCCATTAACTATAGATAGTTACGCATTTGTAATTTATCCTAAGAAAAACATTCTTTAAAAAGATAAGAAAAGCGATAGTGGAAAAAACAGGAATATTTTAAGTTTCAACAATAAAAATGGCTAGATACATTGTAATCCATTTACTTGATGGAAACTGATGCATCTGAGTACAGAAATAATATAGAAGTATGAGGAAAATCTAAAAATGGTCAAAGACAGAATATAAAATTCTACCTACACTACAATTAGGCAGAAAAAATGTACGCTAATGGGTGAGAACCAGAAGGAAATGCTGAAAAATCAAGACACCTGTGTGTTATAGTAGAGAATTGTAGGCAATTTCCTTTTTTAAAAAAATGGTTCAATTCCTATTATGTACACTGCTATGCAATCCACCATTTGTCCCAAAAGGGAACATTTTTCCTTTAAAGAAAAAAGTATGATCAATATTAAAATATGTGGTCCAGCTGGGCACAGTGTTGCACACCTATAATCCCAGCACTTTGGGAGGCTGAGGTGGGTGGATTGCGTGAGCTCAGAATTTCGAGACCAGCCTGGGTAACATGGCAAAACCTTGTCTCTACAAAATATACAAAAATTATCCAGGCGTGGTGGCACACACTTGTGGTCCCAGCTACTCGAAAGGCCGAGGTGGGAGGATCACTTGAGCCCGGGAGGTGGAGGCTACAGTGAGCCATGATCGTGCCACTGCACTCTAGCTTGGGCGACAGAACAAAAAAAGAAACAAACAAAACAAAAAACAAACAAACAAAAAAACCCCCAAAAATGTAGTCCATTAAATTTCTAAATTCCATAAAGATAGAAGAGTGGTTTTCCATTAGGGGTTATTTTGTTCCATACCCCTCCCAGACATCTGAAGATATATTTGGTTGTCATAATTGGGAATTGGGGATGCTATTGGCATCCAGTAAATAGAAGTTAGGGATATTGCTAAAACATCTTACAATGCACACAACAGGCCCTCCCCTACCCTCTATTAGCCCAAAATGTCGAGTGCCACTACTGGAGAAACTCTGGGGTGAAGAATGTGTCATTTTGTTAGCCTCTGGAAACCCACTGGCTAGAAGATTGCCTAGGGCACAGAAAACACTTAAAACTTGTATGAATGAATAAAAACACACCATCCTGTCTTTCTCTTTGAGTTTTATGTTGATACTGTGAACTGCACATTTTCAAAAGATTGATCTTGTGCTCAGTCTCTTCTAGTAAACCAACCTTTGAAGCTTCATAGCATCAGTTTTTTAAAAGGTATCAAAGGTACTATCAGAGTAAGGACTTCTCATAACTTCTGATTACTAAAGACATCAGAATGTTGCTGCACTGAGCTTTTCAATACCTGTAACTCCTGGTAGTAACCTCAAGAATAGTTAGGACTTATTCTGATAAAAATATAAGAATAAAAAATAAAAGCATTTTATAAAATACTGTTTCAAGGATAAACTACCAATTAGAATATGAAAAGGACTTCTAAAAAGACTGAAATGTCTTCAACCACAAATGTGACAGATTCATGAAACATTTACTGAACATCAATCATGTACAGAGCGCTGTCCTAAAAGAATATAAAAACTGTTTGAAATATACCATATAAATATGATGTCTGTTATAAACTAATATTGACATTGTATCTTTCCAACCTTTTTAGACACATCTTGTTTCAATTCTTGTACAGGGGACTCATTTCCAACTTTGCATGCAGTGTTCTCTGTTTCCTGTTTGAAAAAGAAAAGAAATAGAGACCAAATGATGATATTTTTTTTAAAAAATATGCTTTAAAGGGATACAAATGAGAAAATGTAGCATTAATAAATCAAAGGTCCTTAAAGGGCTTCAAAGGTCCTTAAAGGGCTTAGATTTCTTCTTCCTCTTCTTTTTTTTTTTTTTTTTTTTTGAGACAGAGCTTCACTCTGTTGCCCAGGCTGGAGTGCAGCGGCACAATCTTGGCTCACTGCAACCTCTGCTTCCCAGGTTCAAGTGATTCTCCTGCCTTAGCCTCCCGAGTAGCTGGGATTATAGGCGCGTGCCACCACACTTGGCTAATTTTTGTATTTTTAATAGAGACAGAGTTTCACCTTGTTGGCCAGGCTGGTCTCGAACTCCTAACTTCATGTGATCTACCCGCCTCAGTCTCCCAAAGTGCTGGGATTACAGGTGTGAGCCACTGTGCCCAGCCTAAAGGGCTTAGATTTCCGAATACTGATAGATGCCCAGAAATTTTATGCCATGGTACAATGTAATTTGCATAAGAAAGTTACCTATCAGCAATATTCTATTATTCTGCAATAGGATTTACCTTTAAATGTGAAAACTTGCTCAACTTTTTAACATTAAAAAACTGTAATGGAAGATAAGAACTTCTAAGTACTTTTATAGCTAAAAAGGATTAAGGATTTAAGCAAGGGGTTGAATAAAAATTGTTATTTTTCCCAAAGCATTGCTCCATAAATATGCACAAATACAAAAGTATATAACACAGAAAACCACATTCAGGGAATAGTTTTCTTAAAATTCTACATGCTTTAGATAAAAGAAATAAAGACTTAACCAGAAGTTAAACGAAGCCCCTAAGTATGAAAAAAGATGAAAAAAATTAAACCCACCAAAAATACATATATATCTACGTATACATTTATATACACATACGTACATATATATATATATTTGGGAGGTTAGAAATGGATACTGCATTTCTGCTGGAAAAAATTAGGGTAAAATAAGACAATCACATATTTGCAAATCTCAATACAATACTCCTCTCAATCTTAAGTAAGTACAGCAATTTGAATGCTACTCGATACTGAGAAAAAAAATCATAATTTTTTGTGTACATCACAGAGTTTGTTAGACGAAGGTCACTATAACCATTTTAGATAAGGGACTCAAGGCACACTAATTATTTAGGTGGCACTTATACACGTATCAGGATATGATCACAATAGGCTCAATAATAAAATTACTCCAGAGATTATTAAAATGTTAAAGATTTAACGTGCCAGTGAAATTTCTGTAGGACCTGCAATATCTTCGAGCATTGAATTCCTCCCCCAGAATTTGGGGAATACTACCAATGTTACACAGATTCTTCTAGAAAAAAATTGTTTCATGGACTCTTAAGTGTTAGATAAAATCCAAACAGTACGAAGGCCCATGAAGGCCTAAACATGACATAGCCTCTGCCTACATTTTTGATATCTTCTACACTCATCTCCCTCTCATACCACTCCCTCACAATTACACTCTGGCCAATAGGATGGTTCCTTGCCATTAGGGTCACAGCTCAAGTGCTATTTTATCAGAAAATACTTTCCTGACCATCTCAAAATAGCCTTATCTGACCCCTTAACTTTCTATCACATTATCCTATTTTTTCCTTTTTTTTTTTATTTTTTTTAAAAAAAACCTTTAAGTTCAGGGGTACATGTGCAGATTTGTTACATAGGTAAACTTGTGTCACGGGGTTTTGTTGTACAGATTATTTCATCACCCAGGTATTAAGCCTAGTACTCATTGGTCATTTTTCCTGATCCCCTCTCTCCTTCCACCCTTCACCCTGATAGGCCCCAACATGTGTTATTCCCCTCTATGTGTTCATGTGTCCACATCATTTTGCTCCCACTTATAAGTGAGAACAGGCAGTATTTGGTTTTCTGTTCCTGCATTAGTTTGCTAAGGATGATGGCCTCCAGCTCCATCCATGTCCCTGCAAAGGACATGATCTCATTCTTTTTTATGGCTGCATAGTATTCCATAGTGTATATGTACCACATTTTCTTTACCCAGTCTATCATTGATGGGCATTTAGGTTGATTCCATGTCTTTGCTATTGTGAATAGTGCTGCAATGAACATTTGTGTGCATGTGTCTTTATAATAGAATGATGTATATTCCTTTGGGTATATACCCAGTAATTGGATTGAAGAGAGGATATCAAACTATCCCTGTTGGCAGACAACATGATCTTATATCTAGATAACCTATAGTCTCAGCCCAAAAGATTCTTAAGCTGATAAACAACTTCAACAAAGTCTCAGGATACAAAATCAATGTGCAAAAATCACTAGCATTACTACACACTAATAACAGTCAAGCCAAGAGCCAAATCAGGAATAAACTCCCACCATTCACAATTGCCACAAAAAGAATAAAATACCTAGGAATACAGCTAACTAGGGAGGTGAAAGAACTACAAACCACTGCTCAAAGAAACTAGAGATGACACAAACAAATGGAAAAACATTCCATGCTCATGGACAGGAAGAATCAATATCGTTAAAATGGCCACACTGCCCGAGGCAATTTATAGATTTAATGCCATTACTATTAAACCACCATTGAGATTCTTCACAGAACTAGAAAATTTTATTTTAAAATTCATAGGGAACCAAAAAAGAGCCTGAATAGCCAAGGCAAATCCTAAGCAAAAAGAACAAAGCTCGAGGCATCACGCTACCCGACTTCAAACTATGCTACAGGGCTACAGTTACCAAACAGCATCGTACTGGTACAAAAACAGACACATAGACCAGTAGAACAGAATAGAGAATACAGAAATAAGACTGCAGATCTACAACTATCTGACCTTCGACAAACCTGATGAAAACAAAGAATGGGGAAAGGCTTCCCTATTCAATAAATGGTGCTGGGAAAACATCATCCTATATTCCTTCACTGCACTTCTCATTCAAAATGACCTTATTTACTTGCTTATTTTCTGTCTCTTCCCTGTCCCCCTAGAATGTAAGTTCCGTGAGAACATGGACCTTGTTTGTTCTATCTACAGTTTGTTCAGTACCTAAAACAGTGTCCAACACTAAATAATCATTTGCTGAATAAATGTTGAATGATGCATGCTCTGTTTTTTCTTCAGTTAATACATACATCTTAAGTTTACATAGGCTTTAATTGGATCCTGGTTTTATGTGAAAGAAGGCCAGGCACGGGCTGAGACCTGGAGTTTAAGACCAGCCTGGGCAACATAGTGAGACTTCGCCTTTAAAAAAAAAAAAAATTAGCCAAGCATGGTGGTATGTGCCTGCAGTCCCAGCTACTCTGGAGGTTGTTGTGGGAGGATTACTTGAGCCTAGAAGCCTGAGGCTGCAGTGAGCTATGATAATGCCACTGCATTCCAGCCTGGGCAAGAGAGCGAGACCCTGTCTCTAAAAAAATAAACAAACAAACAAACAAAAAAAACAAAAAAAAAAAAAGAAAGAAAAAGAAAAAAAAAAAAATCTAACCAAGACCAACTGGTAAGATGACCTTGACAAGGTGGAGAGAGAATACTTGGAAGCTGATCACTATTAAGAGAATACTTGGTCCAGCCTGGGACAGAGCAAGACTCTGTCTCAAAAAAAAAAAAAAAAAAAAAAAAAAAAAAAGAAATACTTGGAAGCTGATCACCATTAAGAATAGTTGATGCTCTCAGCAGAACAGGGTCCACAGGAAAAAATAAAAAATAAGTAACAGTTGATGCAAAATAACCTTCAACTGTCCCACTATTTTTATCCAATTATTTTCTAATAACTGTTTATCAGTAGGAAAATCAGAAGCATTGTACGACATAATTCTGTGGATATTTTCCCTAAATTAAGCTACATAAAATTACACATTAATAATCTTTGGACCTCAATTTGATTAACTGATTGATTTTTAGAGGCAGGGTCTCGCAGTTGCCCAGGCTAGAATGCAGCGATCCTCCCACCTTAGCATCCCAAAGTGTTGGGATTACAGGCGTGAGTCACTGCACTCGGCCTATGTGTCACTGCACTCGGCCTAATTTGTTTCAATTATTTACTTAAAAAGATTAACATTCCTACACTAGCCAAAACTGCCAAGCAGTGATTAGACTTCTATTTTATTTGGCTTTAACAAAACTCTCTTGGAGTCTGAACTTTTAAAAGATAGTAACTCCTAAGGTACTCTGCTGTTTTAAGTCACAAGTTTAAAGGAGTGATATGGCACCTACCAGAGGGCCTGATCTCCAGAGAAGACTTCTTAATAAAATCAGACTTAGGATATATAGTCAACTATGATTCTCTCTCAGTGATGTATAAGGTCCAGGTCCTTCTAACACCTTGATCAGGCTTTTGGGACAAAGGAATGCAAGCCAAGCATGTGTCCATAGACAACCAACGCCAACTTAGCTATACTTGAGACAGTCCATTACCTACTTCTGGTGATGTTCTGACCCATTATTAAATGCAGTACTTACTAAATCCCAGCTTCCCCACTATTAGGCAATTTCTCTAACTCCTATCTATCACAGTATCAAACATTTGCTTCCTTAAAAGGTATGGTAGCTTATTCAATTTTCAGCAATTCACATCACAGTTACCTCCATCTGTGTTGGATATTATAGAGCTGTCTATAACCCCCCTGCAGTATTTGGTTATAAGATTTCAGCTTTTTAATTTTAATAAGCACACCCAACAAACTATTTGTATGAAAGTGATCTACACTCACAGAAATCTTATTACCTACTAAAGAACATTAAGCTAAAAACATTAATTATAGAAAAATTCAGGTAACTTGTAATTTTTAGTAGTAAGGGAAGGGAAGTTACTAAAGTGAAATTTGTTTTAAAAAAGAAAAACTTAGAAATGTGACTTCCACTCTTTTTTTGCTGAGAAAATTGTTTTAAAAAGTAACCCTTAAATCACTGTCATATCCATACATCCATTCCTTTCAATGCTGTTTCCTTTGTCGGAGTCTCATGTCTTGACATTTTAACTGCCTCTTGACAGCTTTCTTTGCACCGAAGTCTTTTTCCTCCAAACTTTCTTCTACCCTTCCACCAGTTTTCTTAATTCCCCAGCCAAACAAAACAAAACAAACAAAACAACAACAACAAAAAACCTTGGGCAGCACAGCTGTAAGACATATAAAAATTGACTTTTTAAATATCCCACTTTAGGCCTGGCACAGTGACTCATTCATGTAATCCCAATGCTTTGGGAGGCCAAGGGAGGGGGATGGCTTGAGGCCAGGAGTTTCAGACCAGTCTGGACAACCTAGCAGGACCCTGTCTCTAAAAAATAAAAATAAAATAAAATAGCTGGGTGTGGGGTTTGAGTCTGTAGTCCTAACTACTTGGGAATCTCAGGTGGGAGGAGTCATTGAGACCAGGAGTTCAAGGTTATAGTGAGCTGTGATTGTGCCACTGCATTCTAGCCTGGGTGACAGAGTGAGACCTTCAAAAACCAAAAATATCCTAGTCAGGCCCAGTGGCTCACGCCTGTAATCCCAGCACTTTGGGATGTCGAGATGGGCAGATCACCTGAGGTCATTTGAGACCAGTGTGGCCAACATGGCGAAATTCCATCTCTACCAAAAATACAAAAATTGGCTGGGCGTGGTGGCTGGCACCTATAATCCCAGCTACTCGGGAAGCTGAGGCAGGAGAACTGATCGAACCCAGGAGGCAGAGGTTGCAGTGAGCCAAGACTCCATCACTGTACTCCAGCCTGGGTGACAGAGTGAGACTCCATCAAAAAAAAAAAAAAAAACAGAAAGAAAAAAGAAAGAAAAGAAAGAAACCCAAAAATATCCTGCTTCAAAATTGTAAAGATCAGAGTTCTTTTCTAAATTTTTTTTTAACTTGAGACAGAGTCTCACTCTATCACCCAGGGTGGAGTACAGTGGCGCAATCTTGACTCACTGCAACCTCAGCCTCTCAGGTCCAAGTGATTCTCCTGCCT